GTATTGCTACCTGGGTTTTATTAGCATGTGGCCGCGAGCTCAAATAAGTATGTAAATCAGGCCCACGTTTTGCCAACGGTTACCCATGCCTGGCATAAGCTGATAAGTAGTATCCTTAACGGGAAGATACCAGATAAGGTTCTCTAAAAAGGTCAGGCGATTTTTGAGCTTGAAAATATTTAATTTTCTTACTTATGCCATATATCTTTTCGATAATCGATGTACCATTGTCGGAACTTCTCGAACTGGCCGTTATTAACATCCCAGCTTCTCCGCCTTTCTTCCAGCTCTTTTTGCACAGTTTCTGTGATTAGCTCTTCCTTGATTCGTTTCTTCTGCGCTATTTCAGGTGTTGCGTTCGCGGCTAGTCGTAATTTTGCCACCACCGTACCCTGGATTAGAAGAATAAAAACTTTTGTTGCGATTTCATAAGATATTTTCAACATCGGGCATGCGTTCAATATACGAATAACAGACGCAAATTCCACGAAAGCTATCATTAAGCTTTCACATTAAGATATTTTGTTCAGTAACTCAGAGCATAAATTTAATTTACATTAAGGAAGTAATCGCACTAGAGAGAAGTGTCGCAGTATTAAAATGGTCTTCAGCTGCAGGAAATTACAAATCACAGTTGATATACCATGTCCCGTTGTTTGTTACACTAAGGAAAAACATCCAGGTCGTTCATTCCTTCCACTTATTTAATGATTCATTCCTATTCATTCATTCCTTCCACTTATTTAATGATTACCTCTCCACTTCCTCTCATCCAGATTTTTTGCATTTATGCAGCAAGCTTTTCATCCCTTCTGTAGTTTGATATTTCTCAGCTGATTTGTATCGTCTTTTCAAATTTCACCTTGTTCTAGCTAGATTTCCCACCCACACCCTCCCCATCTCTCCCTCCTCCGTGTCCCCAGATCTGGGTCTTTTCATGCTTCATGGTAATATGTCAATAGAAAATTGGTCAGTAACACAAAAGACAGTGTTTGCCTTTTGTGGCTTGGCCCTTACTAATCGGACGATTTTTGCCAAATACCTGAAATCATCACTATGCCAGGCATTATCG